GTCACAGCGTGGAGCCACCACTGGGCTACGCCTCACATGCACTATGCTAGGGTTTGATTTGGGTTATGTTGGGCCTTGACGGGGACGACAAGCCTTTGAGTGGGGGAGATTGTAACACCCCTGATTAGTCCTACATTGAAAATGGGCAAGATTAAGATTGACTTATAAGGGTCTGATGAGTGTGCTACTATCAACTTCTGCTTAAGCATTTTGGTCAGTGGTTTAGACCAAACGAAGTTGATAGGCCAGTTAGCCCATTAGACTCAGGTCATGACACCCGCTTTCCCCCAAACGGTCATGCATGCCAGTTATTCTCAACGCAGCCCCGTCAGGTCTCCCACGTTTGCATGCCAAGTGTTTCTATGAGTGCTTGTCCTGCTCTGATACCATCTATTTCACGGACTTAGCTGGTTTTGCCTAAGTCGTGCGGCACCCTTACGCGTCCGTCCGTAAAGATCAGCCTCCCCGAAACCTCCCATGGTCCCTTAGGACCTACAAAAGAGAAAACAGGTTAGAGAAAACACCTCACTCGGGATCCACAAGCAAACATTTCAGAGGACACTTCATAATCAATGCAAATTATAAACAGACTTTACAAGCTCTGAACGGTCGCATAACAAAGGATCCAAAATGGTCCACCACAGACTAGGTATCTCTCACAAGTGTCCACATGACACAATCTTTATTTACAAAGCCTAAAATAGCCATCAAACCCAACTAAAATGGGGCTGTTAAGCCTTCAACCGTCCCTCTACATGTTGTGCAAAGCATGAACAAACCAAAAGACACGGACATACATAAACATTACATCAAACATCCTCTTTAGAATTTTGTCCATTACAGCTCGGACAGCTCGGACTCGGACATCTCGGACTGTTTGATGCTGGTCATGTTTACCTCGATACGGTTGTGTTTATCTATCCCACTAGTACACGAACTTATGTAAACCGAGTGGTATGTCTAGCACTGGACCTGCATTGAGTGGTACAAGCCCTTCACCTCCCGGTATGCCTGGCATAGGTTCTGTATTGAGCAGTTTCTGTTTTTTTCTAGATGTTTTTAAAACTTGATATGTACCTTGAAGTACCAACACTCAGGTACATTGGTATGGACTGGTACTGTACCAGTCCAAGCTCTAACTGGTATAGTACCAGTATGCAAGATTGTGAACCTTGTCAATAACTATATTTGTTATTCTATAATATCCAATTTTTATGCATATTAATGTGGTCCCCCATATGATGATTCTAGCTTCAACCTTGTCTCAGTTTTTTCTCCTTTTCTGATGCATATATTGGCACATGGTGATCTGGTTGTTCATCACCTTTCCAGATCTTATATTTTCTCTAACATTCTCGTTATGTATATATATGTGCATGTATGTTATTGGATTTAAAATGCTATTTTCACCCTTTTTGATATGACAGAAACTGACGATAAAGGTTCATCATGTTTTTCTTGGAACCACTCAAATAATTGCTTTCTTCATTGCTTTCGGAATAGGCTATAGCATTTGTGTTAGGTTTGGTCCTGTAGTGTTACCGTTAAGAATTTAATGGTTTAAAACCATAGGTTAATGTGACAGCAGAAGTAATGAGTTGGGAATGCTTATAGTCACTAATTATTCTGTATCAAATAAGATAAGATCAATTCAGGAATTGTCAATTTCAGTTTTGCTTGGTGGTGGTTTTTTTACATTTATTCCGTGCTGTTGGACATTAATGAATGCAACCTTAAATAGTTGTGTATGCAATTTTCAAATTGGTTACATTTAATGCTTTTGCCAGGCAACTCTTTCTGGAAACCAGCAACCCATACGCATTGAAATCACTGAGGCTGCAATGGAGCTGGGTTCTGAAGTAAGTTCCAGTCTTGCACCAATGATATAACTGTACTTCTCAGATAAACTGCATGTGCATTGTGCATATCATGACAACTTCCAACTGCTGTTTCTAATTGTGTTATTATGTTGGTATCGCTGATCTACAGAACACTAAACTGATTTAATATACTGATTTTATTGCTAGGAAAAGATAATTTTGATTTTTTATTCTGGATTTTTATCAGTACATTCTTTTAGGCGATGTTTCTTGAGCACAAGGGTCTCGTGATCCTAGTCTAGGGACATGCATGACCTGGGCCCTGGGATGTGCCATGAACAGAAACAGCCATTTCTTTTTCCCTTTTTTTTTATTTTGCAAATGGTGACGACTGTAGGTACTTAGACACTGATATCAAACAGTCATAGTCTTGACCAGTTAGGATAGATGACATCCTTGGTTTTGAGTTCTCAACCTTGGGTAGGTCTAAGAAACAACCATACAATTGTACCAGAACCTGTCCTCATTTTGTGGTACATTTTGTGTTAAGTCCAATTACAACACAGAATTATGAGAAAAAGCTTTATTTAGTGGCCTGCATCTTTAAGTAGTTACATATAACTTTTCTCATTTGTTAATTTATACCAACTGCATTTCCAAGACTTGACCCTATCGTCAAGTCCAATCAGTATCTTTGGTAAATAGTTGACACTATGAAAATTATGGACTGCAGTTTGCATGCTCAGCAACCACACAAAAATGTTTTGCTTTACTGATAAGATTCTTATGCAGCCAGGCTAATGTCTTAACTGTGTGAGAACATATGAATTGTCAGCTGCATTCGCCTGTGTTTGTACTATTATCTTGTATGACATCCCAATGTGAATCTCAAATTGGTATTTGTCATGCAATGCTTCAAACCTGTTACTCCACTAATCTGGAAGTTGCCCATGTCTCATCATGAACTCAACAATTCCTTAGCAAAACCTCTTTCGCCTCCAATGCATCAGCATCTCAATGGACCAAGATTGTTTCCTTTATTCGCAGAAGCTCTCTCTGTTGGTAACCGAAGCGTACAAGGATGCGCACCAGAAAAGTGTTCAGGTTAGATCTACTTTGCTACCATGGTGATCCAACTTAAGATTTATCTTGCATGATGACATGATGTTTGTATCTTCCAGGCTATGAAAGAGAGAATGAGCAATCTTGCCCAGAGTTTGGGAATGCCACCAGGCCTCAGCGAGGGACTGAAGCAATGAATACACCGGTTCATCTAACCATGGTCTACATGGAACTCGTGTTCCTCACCTTGACAGAATTCGTGATATGAAGTCGAGGGGCCATTTTGTTGATTTGCTTTTCAGTCAAGTTGATGACAACTCCTATAATCTCATACCATATACTTTCGCCCTTAAAGTTGAATTATCATTTTTGTTTCAATTCCTATAATCCCATACCATATACTTTCGCCCTTGAAGTTGAATTATCATTTTTGTTCGCATTTAAATTTCTCAGCAACGCCGCAAGATAATGAATTATCATCCGATGTATGCTTTTTGATGTGTGCCAAACTTTGTTAGGGCCGAAGTTGTAACTCGAGAACATGGATGAAATCAACACATAGATCTCCTGTTCCTAGATCTTGAACCGAGTGATGTGAACGTTGAAATGTGTCGTCTGATCCCCAGATTCCTCGATAGATATGTTGTGGCCGTTGATGCACGACGGGACAAGAGCTCACACCTGGTTCCCATTCCCAACAACACCCCCAGCTTCCTTCCAACGGCTACTTCCCTCAATTTTAAATAAAGCCCTACCAAGCTTCCCAACAAAACCATCTCTCTCTCTCTCTCTCTCCATGGCCTTGTCCGAGTCCTTGTCGCCCTTCTGCCTCGCCCTTCTCCTCGCAAGCATTTTGGGAAGCTCAGAAGCAAGGGACTTCTTGGTCGGAGGCAACGACAACGCGTGGCGAGTCCCACCCAACACCACGGATTCCCTCAACCAATGGGCCGAGAAGAATCGTTTCCAAGTCGGCGATTCCCTCGGTAACCTTCTCCGCTCCTTACATCCATCTTTCCCAGGCAAGAGAAACAAGACACTGACAAGTCTCCAATCTCCTGCACGCCAGTCTGGAAGTACGACGCCGCGAAGGACTCGGTACTGCAGGTAACCAGGGACGCCTACCTGGGCTGCAACCGCTCAAGTCCGGTGGCGGAGCACAAGGACGGGGCGACCGTCGTGAGGCTGCACCTCCCCGGAGCGTACTACTTCATCAGCGGAGCAGCAGGCGCCTGCGAGGAGGGGGAGAAGCTGATCGTGGTGGTGATGTCTGAGCGCCACTCGCTCCGCGGCCTCGCTACGGCGCCGTCCCCGGCGGAGTCCGAGGGACCGGCGGTCGCTCCGACCAGCGCCGCTCGGAGGGCGGTGGTTTTCGGGAGTGGCATGGCATGCTCTCTGGTGGTTCTGGGGATGCTGATGTGAACCGAGCTTTCGCAGCTACCGTGTTACCTCGGTCCTGATGAGGCTGAACGAATTTTGATGTTTTAGTTCTTGCATTGAATTTATTTTATTATTATGTCAGGCGAAGCTCGGTACAGCGCAAAAGCCATTAAAATATCAACTATGCTGCCACCCCCTTAAAAAGCCCTCAAGTCCACGTAACCATCTCCTTCCTCGCGGCTCACGCGCGTGCCCACGAACGGATCATCCAGTTGCCACGTTTCGAATCCGCCATGCACGTACGAACGTGGCACCTAAAGCCAAGCTGCTCCCTTCACTGCAAGGGCAGAGATCGAGAGAGAAGCGATGAGCAGAAAGGAGAGGGATGCGAAGCGGCCACCGGCCGACTCCTCGGCGTGGTGCACCAGCGGCGCAAGATGCCGCACAGCCCGACCACCATGGCCGTCGGCGATTTCATGGTCGTCGCCGCCAGCGGCTACTTGGAGCTCTACTACAAGGCCGAACGACCAAATCCAACTATGTCAAGGCCCCCTCATCTAGCGTATAAGCTTTCAAGCTGATGCATTGCTAAAATTCATGGCCTTGAAAGAAACAGTGAAATCTTCTTGACTTATGTAGGATGATATTGCATGACAATTTGAACATGACATGGGTATGGACTCTAACTCGTATAATTTTTCCGCAACCACTTTTTGATGAAAAGAACACAGCCTTGAAAGGATGTCATATACAGTGACCTTAATCCTACAATTTCAAGAAGCATCATCATCAGTTGAACACCAGCTACATTGAAATATCAAGGAAAAAAGAGTAGGAGTGGATCTAAATAAGAAGATAAAATCTCACCCCACACTGTAATTTTCTTTTAAGTGGAACATCCATGACTACAAAATTGATTCCAGATGAGCTGACAGTTGACCGTGATCTTTGCTTCAGAACACCGTTATGAGTCGAGAATCCTCAATCTATCTTCACTGATGAATAAATCAACCTTGTAAACCAGACGCATGCACAGAAGCCAATTGTGCCTGTCAGCACAAAGAAGGCATATACATATATCCCAAGTACAGAATTCCATAGGCTGGCTTGGTGATCTCCAGATTTGTGAAGAAGTAGAAGGTTGCTTAGAGGAAAAGGTGAAGAGCAGAAGATCCAGACGTCAGGTAGGATCTCCACCACCACAAGTAATCCTCACTGCACAGCTGGAAATAGCATAGGACGATTGTGATCTCCGCACAGGTGATAATGAGAATGATAAAAGACAAGGAAGAGGAACCCGAAGAAGTGGTAGAACTGATTAAGCCAGATTGAAGTAAGGATGAAGAAGAGCTCAATGAAAACAGCTCCAAAAGGGAGAATGCCACCATTTAGTATCGAGAAAATTGGCCTGTTCATGTACCAAGCCTGTTCTGGTATCTGCCTGGGAATCTTGTTCGGCTTCACGGATCTCAACTGCATAGCAGGCTTCTTGAAACCAACATAGCTAGCAAACATTGTCGTAAAGGGGACAGCTAGATGAGAGATTTCCTCAACTGCATAGCAGATGATATTTCCTCAACTGCACAAGGAAATCTCGCTGCTCAGTTGAGAAAAATCCTCTCTTTTACTATTGTATAAATAGACATTATAACACTAATTGAGGCCAGCGACCAGCTGCAGCCACATTCCCAAGCGAGACTCCGCGGTCGATCCTCATCGTCCTCATCGCGGTAGTCTTCGCTGATCTGCCACAAGTCTGCAGACTTGAGGTGATCGAAGGGGACGCCTGTGCCCTCAATAGTCTGCACGCTGGGTGGTCTGGCGCTCTCCTCTGCGTATACATATAGCTGCGCCACGCATAGCACTGCGTGGATCGCTACTGTGTGCACAAACTCAAGCCACCGCAATCACCCACCTCTCACCTCCCACCTTCCACTCCTGCCAACGCCTCAACCACCGTTGTCCTTGCCTCCGGCAACATCATCCTCACTGCTTCCAGCAGCATCTTATGGCAGCGTTTTGATCTTCCTACGGACACGCTCCTGTCGGGTCACGTCTTGGTCCTGGAAAGGACCTTGTCTTGGTGCAGGCCTACCATCCCTTTCTGTTGTTACCGAACAATCTTTGTAGTTCTCTCCCGCTACCTCTGATCGGTGATCGGGGCAGCCACTACGTCTTGCTCCACCTTCGCCTCTAACTGCTGATCTACTGCACAAAGATCTGCAATTGTCTTACATAAAGCTAACCTTCTCCTTCAACAAAGACCTCATTTGCCAACAACCTTCCTCAGGTGACATTGATCTGCACCACCACCACCTCTTCTTCCCTGATCATTGGCGTCGCTACAACCTTTTATCTACTTCCATATGTCCTCATCATCTACCTCTGATGCTCCAGTTATTGTTTCCGCAGGAACCATAGTACTTTCCCATATACAAGCCTTATTTCCATCAATACAGTAACCCTCATCCCCTTCAAATTATCCAAAGGTGGCAACTACGTATCCTAACGTGCTCAATTCGCTATGATCTTCTAGACTATGTCGATGGCTCCTTTCGTTGTCTATAGGCAATGCTAAACATCCAAGGAGCACCCAGTCCAGTATCAAATCCGAACCACAAACTATGGTTACGCCAGGATCGTCTCATCCTCTAAGCAATTCAAGCCTTGGTTGCTGGATCCCTCGCCCTGCTCGTATCTTCATGTGATTCTACTACCGAGGCCTAGTGCAAGTTGCAAACTACCCTGGCGAATAGTTCACGCACTCGCATGCTTAGTCTCCTATCCATTCTCATGACAACTAGACTAGAGGGAAGTCCTGTTACTGATTATCTACACAACATAAAGGTTATTATCGATAACTTAGTCTTGATAGGTCATTCTCTCAGTGATGAAGAAATCACTGTTCATATCCTCAATGGCCTCGGCAACGAGTACAAGAAATTAGTAGTAGCAATACGGGCACGTGACTCACTAGTGTCTTTCGAAGAACTCTACGACAAGCTGACTGACTTTGAGATATATCTAAAGCGTGAAGACAAATTGCCAAGACCATCCATCATAGCTCAAGTCAGTCAAAAATCTACGAGGAGGGGCAATCCGTATAACAAGACTGTCAATAAAGGTTTAACCAAGATGCCTCCTGAACCTATAAGCTCCAAACAAACCATACCTCCTCAACATCATCAATATTTCAATCACAACAACCAAGGTGGTTACTTCACTCCTCAGCAATCCTGGCGCCCTCACCACCAACAAAAAGTTGTGTGCCAACTATGTGACAAAGTTGGCCACTCTGCAAAGGTCTGTCGATCTCGACCCAAACTCCCTACTCAATCACATTGGCCTCAAGCAAATCTCACGACTACTCCAAACACTAGTGATCAAAATTAGATCGTGGACTCTGGCGCATCCCATCACATCACCTCTGATCTACAGAACTTGTCCATCCACAATAACTACAGTGGAAATGAAGACATTATCATCGATGGCGATAAAAGAATTCTTATTACTCATACTGGTTCTATAATGTTTAATTCACCTACCATAATTTTTACACTCGATAATGTTTTGTGTGCACCTCACATTAAATGAAATCTCATTTTCGTTTCTCAATTTTGCAAACAAAATAATACCTCCATTGAATTCTTTTTAACTCTTTTCTTGTCAAAGATTTAAGCACGGGGGCATCCTTGGTCCAAGACTAGAGTAAAGACAATGTTTATGAATGACCGTCAGTTCCACAAATAAAACAGCCCACTATCTACTCCTCAATTGCAGCTCCAATTGATGTATGGCATCATCGTCTCGATCATCCCTCACTCTCTATCCAAAATAAATTACTTTCTCATTACTCTCTTCCTACTCTTAAAAATATAAGTATTATCACTCATTGTGATGCTTGTCTCAGTAATAAAAGTCATAGAATTTCTTTTGTCACATCTTTCATATCATGTTCTACATCGTTTGAAATTATTTATACTGATGTCTGGGGCCCTGCTCCCGTCACCTCCTTTGATAAGTTTAGATTTTATGTCATTTTTATAGACTATTTTACTAAGTACACATGAATATACCCTTTCTGTCATAAATCAGAAGTTTCAACAATCTTTGCGAACTTTAAAAAGCTGGTCGAAAACTTCTTCTAGTCTACCATTAAAACATTCTACTCTAATAGTGGCGGTGAATATCAAGCCCTCACATCCTACCTCTCAACCTGTGGCATCCAACACCTTAAGTCACCTCCACACACTCCTCAACTAGTTAGCTCTGCTAAACGCAAACATCAACATATCGTAGAAACTGGTCTCACTCTTCTACATCAAGCTTCCATGCCAGACACTTTTTGGTCTGCAGCTTTTCAAACTATTGTCTATCTTATTAATCGTATGCTCACTTCAGTCCTCCAATATCAATCACTATTTGAAAAACTATTTTTCAAATCTCCTAATCTTCACAAACTCAGAATATTTGGTTGTTTATGTTATCCATGGCTACGTCCCTATACACCACACAAGATCGCACCAAGATCTAAGCCTTGTATTTTTATATGATATTCTCTTGAACATAATGTCTTTCGATGCTACGATCCTAAAACTCAGAAAGTCTTTATCTCTCGCCATGTTATTTTTGTGGAGTCTGCCTTTCCATTTCAAAATCATGGGTCTCCTACCATGCAAGCTACTCCAACAAATATACATCACTGGAGTATACCATCGATCCCCTCAAATGAACCTCTCACCACACCATCCAATCTCATTCCTCAAGATCCACACTCTTTTATTCTCCCGGTTCAACAGCTCCTCACTCTTTCCATTACTTCTCCTCTTCCTTCTTCATAAATATCACCCACTACTAGTGTCATATCCTCGGAAATACAACAACCTTCTTTACCTAGTGCCATTGATGTATCTCAGCCTAACCTAACCCATGTCAATGTCTCTCCACTACCCATACCAATACCACAACCTACAGCTCCTAGAAATCCAATGACAACTAGCTCAAAAAGTGGTATCTTTAAACCACGTCAGGTTCTCGACCTACATACTCTCATACAATCCTCTCCTGAGACCAGTGAACCTACCATAATCACTCAAGCCCAAAAATCTCCATACTGGCGTAAAGCCATGTGTGAAGAATATGATGCCCTACTCCATAACTCTACATGGACTCTTATGTCATTTCATCCTACACAAAACATCATCGGGTGTAAATGGGTCTTTCGAATTAAACGGAATCCAGACGGGTCCGTTGCTAGATACGAAGCTCGTTTAGTTGTCAAAGGGTTCATCAACGACCTGGAGTTGACTTCACAGAGACTTTCAATCCCATAGTTAAACCTACAATAATTCAGCTTATTCTAAGTTTGGCCATCTCTAGGGGCTAGCAGTTATGCCAATTGGACGTTAATAATGCCTTTTTACAAGGGACTCTAATTGAAGATGTCTTTATGCAGCAACCCCCTGGCTTCGTTCATCACCAGTATCCAAGACATATCTACAAACTACAAAAAGCTATTTATGGATTCCGTTAGGCTCCAAGAGCTTGGTATACTGAACTTGGATCGTTTCTGATATCAACTGGCTCCATCAACTCCAAGTTTGATACCTCTTTATTCTTACGACAATAAAATGGGAATACAATATATCTTCTAGTGTATATAGATAATATTATTGTCACAGGCAATGATACCTTAGAGATTCAGACATTTTTAAAGCAATTGGCTGATCGATTCTCCCTCAAAGATTTAGGACCCCTAAGCTACTTTTTGGGAATGGAAGCAACATTTACATCCTCAGGTCTCCTCCTATCACAAAGAAAATATATTCAAGACTTATTATCAAAGACAAATATGTAGGATGCAAAGGAGGTTTCAACTCCTCTCTCTACTAGTGCATCACTCAAAATATGTGATGGCAGCACTCGTACAGAACTTAATACTGCCAAGTACTTAGCTCCTTACAATACTTGGCTCTCACCCGTCTAGATATCCCATTTACATTCAATAAACTATTTCAATATATGCACTAGCCTTCTGCTATGCATTGGTCTGCGGTTAAACGAATTTTACGATATCTTAAAGGGACCCTCAATCATGGTCTCTTTCTCCGCAAACACACTCCACTTCATCTCCGTACCTTTGTTGATGTTGATTAGGCAGGAAACTTTGATGATCGCACCTCCACCTCAGGGTATGTCATCTTTCTTGGGTCTAATCCAATCAGTTGGAGTTCTAAGAAGCAAAAGACAGTCGTCCGGTCTACAACTGAAGCTGAATATCGTGCCATCGCTACCACTGCTGCTGAACTCAATTGAGTTACAAATGTCCTCAAGGAACTCAAAGTCAGCTCTACACTTACTCCTATAATATATTGTGACAATGTTGGAGTTACCTACCTATGCGTCAATCCAGTGTTCCACTCACGCATGAAATACATTGTCATCGACTTTCACTTCGTGCGAGATCAAGTTGTCAGACGTCAACTTCGTGTCTCTCATGTTTATACGGCTGATCAACTAGCAGACTCACTCACGAAGCCTCTAACCCGGAAACTATATTTGTTGCATCGGTCCAAGATTGGTATCCTTGTTAGGAGTTCGATCTTGCGGAGGCATGATAACAGATGAGAGATTTCCTCAACTGCATGAGAAAATCTCGCTGCTCAATTAAAAAAAATTCTCTTTTTTACTATATATAAATAGACATTATATGATACTAATTGAGATGTACTTTTTTTTTACCTTTACAATTTTACTTTTTATTCTATCTCTCCCCGTAAGGGAGACGAAGAAATAGTTGAAACGATAACAGGAAAAGTGAATGCCGTCAACCGATAAAGACCCAAAGTAGGAGAATAGCTGCCAACAGTCCCCCTCTGTTTGATGGAGAGAGGAAGCCGAGAACTGCAAAAATCATGGTCACCAGCAGCATACCAAAGAACTGAACACCTGTTCCAACATATACGCACAACAAATCTGAGTTGGTTTGAGCCCTGAATACATCCCCATGAACTAGCTTCCACCCTGTCACTTCTTGGGCTTCTTGTGTTTCAAGCTGGTTGTACTTGGAGGCATCTCTGTACAGTGTTCGCAGCATGATCATAGCCACCATGGCGGAGAGGAATAATTGACTTTGATACGGCCATAACTCTGACGCTTTGGATTCGAACAGACCAGAAATAATAATAAGAAAAAAAAAACCACATATACATTTCTCCATAATAAGTGTTTTAGCATTAATTTCTCTAAATTTAAATTTAGCATATATGTACACATATGTATAATACTAAAACTTGTATATATATACCTTTATAATTAATCTATGTCATTTGACTATAATTTGATTTTAATTAAAAGTTCTAATAATTAATCTATTTTTTTTTATAAAATTAATAAAATATAGTTATTTTAGGTCTTATTTTTATCTTTTTAACTTAGATTAATTAATTAATTAATTTTAATTAATTGTGGTTAACCTGAGTTTCTTTTGATGGATATATACTCTATTTTCATATTTTGAAAGGACACTTAATTAATAATTATAATATACAGTATTGAATATTACTCAATTATGGTTTGTTTCATAGCTTCTCCGAGTCAAGTCATAATGCCTGTCCTTGTTGGTTCAAGAACTCATCATCCTTTGGGCTTGACATTATTCTGGGCCATTGGAATTCAAGATTGGCCCATCATTTGTTCTAAGTTGCTCTCGAAATGTATCTCTCTACATTCATATGTGCAACTTGATTTGCCCAAGTCAGGAGCATCATTCTTGTTGTACATATCATAGAGATGATACACTAATAAAATCACATTTCCATATAGCTCATAATTAATACATATTTGACTACAAACGATGGGCTAAGAGGTCATTCAGAAGTAACCCATCACATCAGTGCTTGGATGTAGTGCTAGGTAAGAGTTCTCTCATTATTTTGCACTAATGAAAATAAAAAAGTTAGTTTAAGAACAAAAAATTATAATAGTAACTTGGAATATATAAACACTTTTAAAAAAGATATTAGAATTGATAGACACTATGATTAGAAGAAGAATAAATATTATTTTCTTACCAGAGACTATGCAATCAAATGTAAACCTAAAAAACTAAATACTTTAGATCAAGTCGGATAAAAATTAAATATATAAAATATAATTTTAATAATTTTAGAAATAGATAAAAGAATATAGTTAAGCTGAATGGATAAGAAATCCCTTTAAGTAGAAGCTTTAGGTATCTTTGATCAATTATTCAACAAGATGAAGAGATCGATGAAGATATTATTCATAAAGTAAAAATAAGATAGTTAAAATGACAAGGGATATTAGGAGTCTAGTATAATTATTTGATACTTTTAATATTAAAAAAATTTATAAGATGGTCATAGGACCAATAATATTTTATGGATCTTGAATATTGGGTAACTAAGAAAATATATATATATATATATATATATATATATATATAAAACATTTGTGTTGTCAAGATAAGAATATTAAGATCGATGGGGTTATTATAAAAGTTATGAACAAAAATATTTTTATTTGTGAATAACTAAATATCACTTTGATAGACGATAAAATGTGATAAAATCATTTAAGATGATATAAGCATATGCTCAGGATGCCTAAAAATATTTAGGTATTCTAAATTTAATTAAATATATAATTTTTACAGATCTCAACAATAATAAAAGAATCTATATAACAAACCCGAAATAGTTAAAATCTATATTTTATTATTATTAAATTTAATATTTATTAATAATTAATTAGTATAGGTACTAACAGGAAAGATAAGAATTTATGTGTTTCTAATTTAACTAAGGATATTATCTTATATACAACTCAGAACAATTCATGCACTCGACTTTAAATAGTGAAATATTACCGTGCATTAAAAATAGAATATCTATGAACAAGCCTGCATAAAATAAAGCTTCAAGAAAAAAATCCAATAAAAGAAGCCTTCCAGTATCCATCTCTATCTCCATCTAGTTCCATCCTTCTTTGATCACTTCTTGTTTCATTTGGGGCATTAAATTATTCATATGTGACCTTTACATAAATTTAAAATATTTGGTATTGCTAAGCACATCTACCCATTGAAATCAGAAATTTTCATAAGAACTTTTTGTTTACTTTTTGATTACAAACAAGGGCCACATCAATCACAGAATTCCTCCACTTTTAATCCAAATGTTGCATCATTGAACATCCATGACTTAATTCTAGGTATGAAACTTTTATTCCTCCCTTCATTCACTCACTCATTCATCAAATAGTATAAAAGATTTATCATGTAGCTAGTGCTTTTCAAGTATATACCACATAAAGCTAGCATTGATATGACATATAACTATACAAGAATAGTTTGGATTAGATATGTTCTTATCTGATGGTTTATCATATAGGATTAGGCTCAGTGGAAGATGCTAAAGGCCTAACAAAAGCATATACGATATATTTAATAGCCCATTTCCGTATCTTCTCCTCTAAAAATACCTGATAAAAGCGTAGATTATTTGTTGTTGTACCTTAGTGATGATACGGAACACTAGTGCAAGTAGCATTTGCCTTTACAACCATTAAAATAGCTACTATATCTATGGCAAGAATATAAATGAAGCCATATACTTGTTCTTGAGATAAACATAGTATATAGAAGTGTTGGGATCACAAACGATTCGAGTAAAAGGCCATCGATGGACACAATTAATTCATAAGCCTACAAGAAAGATGTATTGATCACTTATTAGGATTGATAGGTGTGGAAGATGCAGCCGATGTTGCATACAGTATTAACTAAAAGGTGTTTTCTTCATTTGTTGTTGGATAAAATTAGTTTAGGTTAGAATGTTTCCCATTTCTTGGCCATATTGTCTTTTGCGGGTCAACACTATCTCTTCCACTCCATAATTTTTAGCACTTGATGATGTATTTTTTTTTTTGTGAAATTAATTTTATCACCAAGAAAAAAGTAGTCAAGTGTTCATACAAAGATTGAGCATAAATATATTGAAATTAATAAGCTTAATTTTATAAGGCCAATTTTATCAGAAATTATAATTGAACATCATCTTATAATTAAACATCGATAATAGCTGTTTTCGGTGAATTCTATTATCCAATTAAAATCGATTATATGTTGTGTATTTGTTATAAATAAATAAATACATGATGGTAAGAGTTGGAACCCAAGTAGTCTGAGCGGTTAATATATATAGATAGATATGATACCAAGACCATACTACTCTTCTGTGATTGCAGGATAAGAGCATGCAGAATGATCATGATGAACTGGGAGCACCTCATGTTCATTGCATATAATACACATCTCAGTGGTGCAGCAGTGGGCATGATTTGAGGAATGATTCTGCTCTAAGTTTCTAACTTTTGAGATCTAACAACGGAAAATTAGATCTCATTTCTGAACAACTTAGATAGTGGTGGAGCTCACTCCCATCTTTTTCCTAGTGTTATTCCTTTTCCCTGTCAGTAAATCTAGTTGAGATCATGCCAGAAAACCTACGCCAAAGATGACGAAGAATAGCACAAAGAACGAAAGACTAGTCTCCAAAAAGCATGTTTTAACTAGCTGTTAATGATTTGGTGTGTGGTGGAGATCATGTATGAATGATATCCTTGTTATAGGTTGATATGTTCTGGAGGACCACAAGAAAAGAGTTCCAAAACTTTTGCCTTTAGACTTGGACTTGATTGAGAGAAAGAGAGAGAGAGAGAGAGAGACAGAGAGAGACACGTGCTTTCATGTGTCAGCATCACATGTAATACTGCAAAAACAATGGAAGACCAAATGCAAATCTTGATGACGCATTAAAACGCAAACTCAATATTAATCTTCTTCCCCTTTCGGTGGAAATTTATGGAGGGCCATCGATCGGTCTGAGAAGACCCATGAACCATGCACGCTACCAGCTTCATCCATGTGGGTCGACCTCTTTTTGACCCGGGCAGATAAGTCAACCAATAGCAGACAAAGCCCGGCACACTGCCACGTCATGATTACTGACGCGCGGACGGACCCCACCGCTGGATGAACTCGTGCCTCTGCCAACATATCTGACGATGATGGGATGCATGCATGAGGCATGTGGCGCCAAGAACGAGATGGCCCCACGGATCATTTAGCTTCCCGCTTCCTCGAGAACCAAACCCGTTGATGGTGGAGGTTAAGCAGCAGGAAGAGGGATTCTCCATCCATTGCCAACCATTACCATCTGATTCTGCTTCGGATCATACATCCAGCAGCTGTTGCAGCGTGGTTTCCAGGATCAAGTTTGATTGGATAAAAGGGACTCTCACTGTACGATAGCTATTGTGTTGCACTTGCCTTTCACTCAATTATTGCCTTCGGACGCAGCTAAATTAATGGGCAACAATGATTAAGCGGAAGAGCGGCAGTGCATGTTTGGCGATCAACCAATTAGTTTATATGAGCAAAATGTCCCTTGTGATCTTTCCCTGCGGCTGGGTGGTGGGAGAGGGTAGTTTGCAGCGCCTACATATATCTATATCAGCAACACGATTCTCAAGAAATGTGTAGTGTTTGACCGAAGGAATAAATGTAGGAGATAAATACTACATGTGTCAAAGAAGGTAAGAATCATATCTGACATAGTCAGTGAGCTAGGCTTAATTAGACTAGCGGATACACCACCTGTGGGCAAAGTGAGACCTCATTCATGCAGTTTGGACTGGGAATTAATGGCATGACGCATTCACAACCTTCCTCATCCGACCATGCCATATCTGGTGCAAACATTGCATGCTTGTTGAGGCCAACATCGGGCCGACTGATGATTGGAGAAGGACTGCATTAACAGTCATGGAAGTACGTATATGCATGACCATATCTATCCATGTTGTTTTCATGTTTTGCATGCATGAGTTGGTGCTGCTTGTGCGACTAGTCTGCAGAGAGGCATAACTTTTTAAGTCCATTTCGGAGTCTTCAGAACCTTTCGATTTAATATGCTCAGCGATGATGCTGATGAACACTTGTTAGTCTGTACAGATCGGAGTATTAATCTGTACATCGATGGTTCTTCGAAGCAAATAAGGCATCATCTGGTAAAAATGGGTGACAAGAAAGATGCATGAAGTTGGTGCTCAGGTCCTCGTTGCCTTTCCTCTGATATGACGGCATTCTTACAAGCATGTTTGACGGGTCACTCGGCAGCTGGATTTTGATTGGAT